AGTATTTTTAGTATCAGAAAAGTGTTCCTTAGAAAAAGTTATATTTTAAAATTAATCTAAATTTCTTATTTTGCTTAGATTTTTACAATGTTCACTTTTTTTTTTGTTTCTCTAATTTAATATTTTTTTAGTTGTTAACATACATTTAATAATTTATCCTATTTTTATATATTTAATGATTAAACAAAATATAACTTTTTAATTATCTTAGGAAAAGTAATATTTCAAATTTTGGTAATTAAGTCCATTTATTTACTGTCGTCCTTGTTGTTAATTTATTTAATTTGATTTAAAAGTCGGGTGGTATTAACAATACATAATTTTTGAAAGTATTCCATTATTTAAAATAGTAAATTATATAAGTATAATAATAATAATAAATTTACAAAAAAATCATAGCTGGTTATTTAGTTTGAGTTTAAGTACCCAATATTGAAAAATATGCGTATTATAGATTTTACCTTGTCTGACATTCCCTAGGTCATTACAACTTTCACACGCCCTTGATTATAGGGATAGGGTGAAAGTGTTTTTTTTAAGTCGATATTTAAAACAAATTTTCTTAAGTCAGATCACTTAAGTATTCACATGGTTTACGTAAAATTCGTCTAACATCAAATATTGTTATATAAGAGTTGAAACAGCATTAAGAATGTTTTAGTTCATGTATACATAATATTATTTGGTATGGTCTGGTGTGACTCAATAGCCCGCAGTTTTTTCCTCCGTGTGCGCGCGTGAATAATAATGCGACGAAAATGAAAGTGAAATATATATATATTTACTTAGGTATAATATATTATTATGTATGTATATATTTGTATCGCGTAATATTGTGTAGTGATCTTGTTAAGATTCGCGTTTGACCTACTGACATACATGGGCTGCCTGACATTGGCCCATTTCTTGGACCGACATAATACTTATGTGAGCGTTAAAAAATATATGTATTTATAAATGTCTATTTATTTTCTATATTATCATTGATGTGTTGTATTATTCCGGCGTTATCTCATTGTTGCCGACCTTGGAGGTAATCGTGAAGTCATTCCTGAATTGTGCTACCTTTCCCACCTATTTTTTATGACCCACTTAAATTGCAAATTGATCAAATTAACTTATTGCTATTTTGTGAATGATAGCCAATATTTGTTTTGTATAATATTTCTAGTCAATTTGCATTTAAGCGATATTGTTTTTATGATAAAAATAAATGTGTTAATTGTTATACCTTCACCTCATATGTATGAGTTTAACCTCGGTATATGCGTATTAAAGGACAAATCTGTTATTATACTGAAAAAATTAGCACTGATTTTTGCAAAAATTCTCCAGACTTCCGAAAGATTCTTTTTCAAGGTTAGAAGTATCAAATAATATTATATTAATCAACAATTAATTTTTAATATTTCATCATTCGCCTTGAACTAATGTTAATAATTACTTAATTTTTAATGTTTAAAATATATAATACTCTATAACTATCAAATTAAGAATAAATAAAAAACTTCATTTTTAATATGATAAATTTTTAAGTAAAATAATTTATGGATAAAACGTGATGAAAAAGCTTTTTAGGTCTAAAACTTGTGCTTAAAAAAGCATTATGATTTTTTTGCCAGATTACGTGAAATTTTATGTCTGACCATATTAAAGTCTCCAAATATCTATGATCGAGACCTACTACAATCTAAATTAACTCTAATAAGCAAATCTTAGGTGTATCGTTGTAATATAGTGGTTTCATTTAAGTCATTTAATTATTTTTTGTAATTATATTGTGACAATTTCATGTTTTTTATATACTTACTTTATATCAATCACGTGAATATTTTATTTAAATTTCATAAATACAATTTATAAAATAAAATTTACGGTACAATGTTTTAAATTTTTTCCTTGTTAAAAAAGTACAAGTTTATTTATTATTTTATATAATTAAAAAATAATCAAATACACAATACCAATATTATTAAATATTTGTATATGAATTAAGTTATATTAATTTATTTTATAAAAAAATAAATGCTATGCTTCGTTTTAATTTGTTGCTATTATTTTTTATTTTTCTTATTTTTAAATATATTGAATACAATTTAAGATTAATACAGTTATGTGTGACGTGTATAATGTATTTATTTTAACTATAAAATAAAAATAAATACCATTACATGCTACCTATGTTTTACTTACATATGATCTAGGAAATTACGTATGTACTTTTTAGGCACCATTAATAATATCAATATGATTATTTTATACAACAAAAGTTATTATTATATTTTACGTATACATTATATTTTACGTTAAAAATAAATACTTCGATTTTCCTCCGAAGTCGATAATTGAATGAATGGGTGCAGACGGAAAAAATAATTTTTTTTTAATGAATTTAAATAAACACCTAGACTTTAAACTATGTCGATTACAAATTTTGACCCAAATCGTTGACCATTGACCCTTTTCTTATCACACAGCCTGGCATTATCTATTTATAAATTTGTTTAACAAAGTAATTGGATCAAAAAAAAAAAAAAAAAATTGGCAATTTAATATTGCGCACTTGGAGTACGTTCAAAAGAGTGTTGTGATATCGGAATTTTATAGACGGGCTTTGCAACTGGTATCTACAACTATTCAAATATCTTTTTAATAACATGATTAATTTTTTTTCATCTGGAAGTTATTTTAGTTTATTGAATATTAAAATGTACTTATAAATGTATACCTATTTATAATATATATTAGTTGATTTTTTTTTTTTTTGATAAACTACTCATTATTTTAATAATAATTATATTTTTGAAAATATTTCTTTGTATAATTATATGAGTAATCAAAAAGCAAACATTTTTTTTCGATGTGTATAATTTATATTTTGGACAGAGGGTTCATGAGTTGTAGATATTAGAAGTTTTATGAGCAGAGAGAAACGGCACAAGGAGAAGGGTACCTCTCAAAATATTGATCCACTACTCTACTCATCTAAACTTTAAATACTTTAGCTCGTAATTTGATTTATACATATACGTAGGTTGGTTTTTAAAATATTTTTATTGTTATTTATTGACAAGTAAAGTAGAGTAGCATATACTTACTTGTTTGAAATTAAATTTTTATGAAAATTCTTAGAAAAATATCTTGCTTTGGGAAAAATGAATGTTATTATTTAAAAATGTAAAATCTTGAAAAGTTTTAATGTTAAAAATTAGTAAAAACACAATTTTTTCCTAAAAATGTTGTTTCTTCATTACCTCAAATTGCATAAGAAATATATTTTCTAAGCCACGAGTGTATATTTTATAAATAATTCTCCATGTATAATATACGATAGTTCTACAGTCCTCTCTAGGATTTTAGAGGGCTAAATGCAATTTTTGAAAATGAATTGTTGGTCGCATATATTTTTAATGATAATTATTAATAAATAAAAATCAACAGCAGTACGCGAAAAATAATTTTATCATATATTTTTATAATACTAATAATGATTAAAATTATAAAATAAATATTTCATTTTATTCATCGTTCATAGGATTTTGGATTTTAAAATGCACGATTTAATTTTATTGCGAACCCACGCAAAATTTGTTTAAGAACTGCGTAGTGGAGATCGCTGCGATAGATTCTCTGCTATTCAGGGGTATAAACTCATAGTGTATAGTTCTTTGTAAATAAATTATTGAAATTACAATCGTATATAAAATTAAAAAATCTATTTTTGTAGATCCCATTATGTTGTTTTACGTAAATAAATATTATTGATCATATGTTATAATGGAGAGTATAAACTAATATTTCTGACAAAATAAAGTACTTTTTAAAATTATTATTACAATTGACTGAAAAGAATTTTGAGAAAATATCAAATGTTATGTTAAAACCAAAGATTCAAAATATTTTTTAAATTGGAATATTTAGTAAAACAAAATATTAATGTCGGTTATTATAATTTATAGCTAATTTATGTTTATAATCCATAGGTTGAATAAATAATATATTTTTTAGATAACCATTAAACATTTTCTACCTTTTTGGTGAAAAATAATATTTGAAAATTAATTATCTTCTTAGTTTAAATTTAGTTGGTTTTTAGAATTATTATTTTTCGATTACGTTACTATATTCAGCATGATGTATTTCTATGTTATTTATTTTTGAATTATGTCGATTCTTATTTTTTTAATAAAAATATAAAATTGTTTGACGTATTTAAATTTTAATATTGTAATTTGATTAAATGTATGAAAATATGCATTTTACATTAATTAATGTATTAATTTTGACAAAAAATAAGTTATTCGTTATAAATGTTTAAATTTTCTTCTGTTGTTAAATGAGCATAATTTAAAAATATATTTGAGCAATTTAAATGTTTGTAAATATGACATTTTATATTCATGGTAGGTTAGGTATATTGCTTACGGATTATATTATTTATTATAGTAATAGTATTAATTTGTATTTAACATGTCAATATATTAATATAATAAGATTTTGGGTTAATTGTATAATTTTATTTTACTTATGAGGATGTCAGCGTAATATTTGTGTTTTTTTTTTTTAAATGATTTTTTATGACTTGAGTAATCATAGGGTAAAAAGTAAAATCACAAATCATAAAAATTATAGAGGATAATAATTTTTAGGGCTTAATATATCAGTTTTATATTTTATAATTATTTGACTCAGTATTCAACTTTCAAAAAAAAAAAAAAAAATTATAAATTTAAGTGATATTTAAAACTGTTTTGAGACAATATTTAGGCAAATCGTTATGTCTATCCTCAAAAATATCAAAAAAATGATTCTGCGTTAACGCATTTTGTCTATGTTACGAGTGGGACAGAGAGAGAAAACAAATAATGTATTCCGCTGTTTCTTTACGCTTTGAAAAACTTAAAAAGTTTATGATTTTTAATGAAGAGTATACATATTACATATATCATTTTAGTAATTATATTTTTTAATTGACGATAGGGTTATTGAATATTTTTCAGATCAAAAGTGCATGGACCTCAGTAATTTGAACGAAGATGATCAAACATTCATTGAAGGTAATTTGAATTTTTAATATATGTAATATGTATTTAGTAACAATTATAATACTAAGTGTTTTATGATTCATTTTATTGTTACCGTTTTATTCGTTAAGAATTGCATAATTTTAATCGTTTAAATCTATATTTTAAGCATAATGTGATTTTACAATTATATTTATCTGAGAATACAATCGTTAGAACAAAAACCATTACAAGTGCACTATCCTAAAAACAAAAACATAGTTCTGACTATGACATTGACTTTAAACAATGTGAGTTTATAATTTCTAGTTTCACTTTTTTTCAGATTCGAAGTGCATGGACTTGAGTCATTTGAGCGACGATGATCCCAATTTCATTGAAGGTAATAGTGTTGAAATAGTTTACAGTTGCTTTAATTTAAACTTATATTTGTCTTACCGAGAAATCATGTGTGCTGGGGCAGTCTGTATTTTCCCTTTGACCATACGAATTTGAAATTATCGTAAATTATATTTATTATGAAATCAGTTTTCGTTGTTTTAATTGATTGTTGTCCGCCTGTGTATTATTATTCTAATCACAGACAGCGGATGAATGCGTGCAGTTATTAGCTCAAGGCTATAGCAGGGCCGCTAACATTGTGACTAGTGACCTACTTTTGAACGATTCGCCACGATGTGCTCAAGCAAGGACGGCAAGGGCCCTCTGCTCTCCACTTCCCCCGCAAATGTATAATAGTGTCACGGTCGCTCCGATTCACCTAATTCAGACCTATTTTTGGACAGTCCTAAGATACGTAAATTCTGGTGTCATTATTTTTGTAACCACCAAATTAATTGCAAAAATCGTGAGCGATAAAAGTAAAATATCACCGTCCACTCTTACTGAATAATAAAAATAATAATAATACCTTTATAAATTATTGTTCAAAATATAATATAGTGGTTAAGGGATAAAGCTGTTTTGTTATTTTAATAACATCTATACACACTTCTATGGTAATTGTATTATTCATCTGACCGCTTTTATTGCTTGTTGAAATCTTCAATTTAAGTATCCTTTAGCACGTGCTACGAATACCTCTAAACCACTTGACGCAACAATAACAATTCAAATATTCGTTTTATATATAGGTCTTTGGGTCAAACGGGGTCGTAAAAAAAGGTTAAGTATTGTGTTCTGAAATTCGGCGTGTAATTTAACTATAAATTATTTACATGTTAAAGGGAGAATAAAATCGAAATTTTTGGTACGACATATTCGGGCAAGTTACGATTGGATAGAAACGTAGCTAACCAAGGACGCCGCCCCAATAAAACAGTAAATCTTTTCTTCCAGTTATTCGGACAACCGTAATAACGTCGTTAGGCGGCATCCCTTTAGTTGAGTTAGTTTAATAAAATGTTTTGTCAATAGTACCCTTGTAAATTTCTGGTTATCTTTTTGGGGATTTTTATGTTGACAAGTCTTGAACTAAATGGTCTTATACTCTTATTAAATGACAAGCGTTGGTAATAAATTGTGATGTATATGTTAAACGATACTATGGTATTGGTGTATACAAATAGTATGTTTCAAATAAAGCCATAACTTAGGTTTATATTCTTCGTGTACATATAGGCTAGCGTTTATAAAGTATATTTTATTTTATTTAGTTCATTTTTAGATGGTATTGATGTATTTATATATATTTTCACGTATGAAAATTCTTTATTATTGAACTAAAATAAAATAAAATAAATTAAAACCTAAATTTTATTCAATTAAAATATTTGTTCTAATCCCAACAAATTTTAAAATTTTATTCTTTGTGTCGTGTACTATAAATAATATTTAATATTAACTTTTATCACAAAAGTTTTATGTTTGAATTTAATTTAAACTCGTAATTAATAATGTAATGTGTTACATATTTTTTCACTTTTTTCTTTTACTTAATCTTAAAATGTTCTCTTAATAATCCTTAAGGTAAGCTAGGTATGCTTTTTTCCCACAAATAATTTAAAAATCTTTACACGAGTAAGAAACATATTTATAATAATTTATATTTAAATTAAACTTTATGAATTTATATTATTTACATTTTCCATCCACAATTAATACATGTTTAAATAGGTAATTTAAAAATAATTATTGCACACATTTTTTATGATAAATTATAAACATTTATTCCTATTTGAAATAATTTGAACAGTTGGACCATTTAAATTAATATACAAACAAATTATTGAACAATTTTTATCATTTTTTATTTTGAAATTAAAAACAATATATTCCTGATATTAAATATATAAGGTTCAAAATATGTTTTATATGCAAAATAATTATTATTTAATCAGTTTCTGTAGTTTTTCCAATTAAAAAAAAATGTTTCATCTTAAATACGAGTATTTTAATTCAAAGTTATTAAAATACCATTTAATGAACATAATCATATTGTATATTTATAATAACTTTTTTATGATCACTTAATATTTGAAAAATTGAATACTATTTATAGTGAATCAAGACGTTGCTCAGAATAGTTTTTCGAATTTAGTTATTATTTGTAGTTTTAAAAAATAACAATGTAACACTGGTTTTTGTCGTTATAAGTAATGCGTGACGATTCACATCCATTTACTGTATTTTGACATCCTGTCCACACGATTTTAAATAATATAAGTGATTATATCAAGTGAATATATACATATTTTAGATTCTGCGTGATGGATCGATGATTTCATTATGGTTTACAATGATTTTCAATTTTTTGTGTTTTATCATTTTTTTTAATCAGTAAAAATGCATCACTCTTTAATTTTAAGGGTAGTTACTGATACTAAATTAGATTTGATTGGTATTTTCGGATAAAAAGAAATAGTAATTTAAAAATAATCAGGGTAAACTAAAAAAAAAATAAAGAAAAACTGTAATAGATTCCTTTTTTGTTGTATATTATTATTAAAAAAAAATTACATCTAATACCTAGATGTTACAATTTTCACAAAAATAATATTTTGTTTCAGTTTTTAAACATGATATTATTTTCAAAAAATTTTCTATTTTTTCCATTGACAGATTTGAAATTTTCTTAGTACTTTTCGATAAATATTTATGAATATTTTGTTCGGTAACTAGTAAAAATCCTTAAAAACTTAATACAAACTTCCTTAATATATATATTTATATATTTATATATTTTTATTGTAAATTAAAAAAAAAAAAAAATAGTTTATTTGAAGTCATATATCATATTTAACAGCTTACGTTTTTAATTTTATATTCCGTAGAACAATAATATTTGGAGTATTTCGATCTATTAAAATTAAATTTTGGACTAGTGGCTTACATTAGTTATAATTTATAACTTATAAGTATTTAAAGTTTAGTTGGGTAAAATATTGGATTAACATTTTTTTGAATACCTCTCTATAACTGCGTTTTATTACTTTTATTCATCTCTATTCGTTCAAAATTCTTTTGCATAATATTTTCATATCGAAGTGCTCTAAAAATATATTATTTTGGAATAAGTGATTAAAAATGACAGCAATAAAAAATAATAAAAAATATATTTAAAAACGTTAATATTTTTTTTTTTTGTTGAAATAATGAGTTTGTTACGTTACATGAATCACAGTTAAAATGAATATAGAAAATTTTTTTTTTTATAAGTTTTTAAAGTTAAATAAATAATGTTTTAAAAAATATTATTAATCCTACTTGACAGCAAAGAGATTTTTCATTTAAAAACAAAAAAATTGAAGTCAATTTTATTTAATGTAGTGGTATTGTTTAAATTCAGATAGTATATTACTATTATATTTATATGCGTGTTTTAGTAGATACTAAAGTCTTAACGAAATCAATCAAATTTTGTATAGTTGTGTTTACCATGAACCACTTATTTCAAATGGTTTTATTATTCTATTATTTAGATACAAGTTTCAATTTAGAATATGTATATATATTTTTTTTATTATCACTCTTTCCAATTTCGATGGTAAAAAAGGAGGCGGTGTTAAATCCAGTGTCATTAAATCTCATCTACAACCGCAGAGTCATTACTATTCCCAGTGGCAAGTCGACCATAATATTATAACGGCCGGTCGAATGGTGGATACACACGGATAATAATTACCTGAAGAATCCCCGGGGTTGGTTGACCCGTGTGAGAATGAAAGAAAGAAAGAAAGCACTTCGGCTTTCTGACGGAACTCTAACAATGAAGACTGATGATGTCGGCCGATAAAAGGGACATGAATATATAGATGAAGGTAGGGAAAAAAGTATATGTTCAATTTTTTTGGTCACGGGTAATAACCTTAGCCGTTGAAGACGATTGCTCCGGTTCAGGAATTCTATGAGTATAGGGGTTCCCAAAAACTTGAAACAATAAGTTTAAACAAAAATAATAAAATCCATTAAAGAGTAATAATTTTTGGAAATCATCGGAATCCTATTAATATATAAACTAGTAGATTTGTTGATGCATTTTCTTCTACATTTAGACTGTTTTAATTTTGTTATAAAATACATAAAGTATTATATTTAATGATTGTGATAAGTTCTTATATTTGTTTATAGATAATTTTATCAATCATCGTTTTTACTTATGTATTTGTGGTCAATGTTTTGTATTTAGTGTAGATACATAAGTAATTTGTTACTTTATCATCTAGTAAAATAGGTTAATTTAAGAGATTTTTTAATTATACTCTTCATAAAATGTGAATACTTTAGTAAGAAAGTGCCCTTTTTATTTTTCATTAGTACTTAAATTGAATATATTTTAGAGTATTTAGTGCTTTTGAATATTATGAAATTCATTTTTATGTATCTAGCAAGTTAGTTAGCTAGTAGTAGCTACACACGTTAACTACTATTATATCGTCTTATAGGCGTTCCTCACGCATACACTATGTAGGCTTACAACTATCATACTTTCACACGTGTACGTCCAAAAGGTTATTGCCTCCTAAACTGAAAAAAAATCATAGACCGAAACTTTTCGTCAGAAGTTGAATCTCATTGGCTGGCTCGTGTTGTTATATTTTTAGGTAAATTACTAATTGTCCAGGCACCAATGTTTAGAATTCTTGTTCTTTGGTTTAACCAGATTCCACACTTATGTTTAGTACACTTTCACTTTTAAATAAACTTCTTTTAGTTCATATTAATATTTCTATTGTAATGTAATTATTTTATTTACATTAATTTGACAATATACAATCTATTGTGAACGCTTCATAGCTATTAAGTAATTGCAATGTCTCCGGATGAAGGGGCAATGGTTATTTGCGAACTTGCTTCATGGATTGCGGTGCAAATTACTGTGCCTATACACAACGCCGTTTGTAGAAAAATAAAGTGTGTAACAAAACAACTAACAACCGTATA